TCACGATGCTTTCCAGGTGGAACCCCGTTAGGTATGCTGACATGGTTTTATATGTCAGTTAATTAACCGTATTCCCCCTCTGTTATTATGCTGAATGGTTTTATATGTAGTTAATCTCTTCTGCATATACTCGGGGCGTGTCAACGAACATACATTAGTGGATGACATAATAATGGATCCCCCGTCCAAGTCAAACGGGGATCGAAATTACGACGGCCTGAGCCGAGGTTCGAATCCCTAGCGGTGCCCTCAGACTGGCGTCGTATCCGTCAGGCGGGAGTTGTCCTTCAGCCGCTCCATAAGTCCTTCCTTTGGTTTGGAATGCCATCTGCACTCGCTCCCTATCGTCCGGTGTAAGCTGTAAAGCCCAGCTGCGGACAACAGCATTAGAGTAGTCCGAAAAAAAAATATCATGGTACTTAAGTAAAAATCTATTTAGTTCAAGTATCACTTCGCGACAGTCGTCTTCGGCTGTATGTGTATCATTACATAGTATAAAACTAAAGTCACTCTCACTGTCTGTCTGTCCCTATGTATGCTTAAATCTTTAAAACTAAGCAACGGATTTTGAAGCGGATTTTTTAATAGATAGAGTGATTCTAGAGGAAGGTTTACATGTATAATACATGTACACCCGTGAGAAGCCAGGGCGAGTAGCTAGTACACATATTTATATATGGTACTTAAGTAGAAATCTATTTAATTCAGGTATCATTTCGCAACAGTCGTCTTCGGCTGTATGTATGTATATATGTGTGTATATTTCTCATAAATGTATATTTAAGTGTCTGTGTTTATCACTCTCGCGCATTTCAAACTGGAAAGTAAAAGTTCATAATTTGGACGTTGGCGTAGGTACGGTATGATTTGATTGTGTAGCGGCCCGCCGCGCCCCCCTCCCGGCCCTCGCTGCTGTCACCCCTCCCCCGCGGGCGGCGACGCTGCCAAAAAACGAAAGTTATTATGATGAAACATACAAACGTAAGTAATGTAGGGACCGTACTACTATCACAATCTGTATATCACTTTGTTATGAGGTGCAGCTAGACATGGCGAATGGTAGAACTTCATCTACTACTCCAGTGTTTTTCAATCTTTTTGATTTCGCGACCCCTTTGCGGGTTAAAATATTCTGGCGACCCCCTTGTGTCATAGAATACCAAAGAAATAATTTAATTAAAAATCTACATACGTTAGTTAGGTAATACTGCCAAGAGAAGCTTCTAAATAATTAGTGCCCTTTCGCCACTTCATACTTGGGTGAACGGACATTTTCTTCAATGGTACATCGTCATCATCATCATCATCTCAGCCCGGGAGACGTCCACTGTTGAACAAAGGCCTCCCCCCCCAAAGATCTCCATTAAAACTAAAAAGAAAAATATGCAATTTTGAAAATAATAATAATAATCTCAGGACAATTCACACAGCGCCATCTAGTCCCAAGTTAAGCTAGCTAAAGCTTGTGTTACGGGTACTAGATAACTGATACAAGTATATAGATATTTTTTTTTCCTAAATACATACACATTATACATAGAAAACACCCAGATCGATACAAACAAACATACTCATGAATACAAATATTTGTACGGTGTGAGGAATCGAACCCACGACCATCGGATATTAAACCGGTGTACTAAACCACTAGACCACGGAGGCTGTCGAATTTAATATTTTGAGTCTATTGCATAAGTGCTAGTTGGTAGTTTGTATTCACACATTTCAACTTAAAAATTTAAAGTTACAAATAAATTATTTATAAAAGCAACACGCAAGTGTCTTGCTCGTCCTTCTTGTAAGGAGACAGCTTTCCGCAAGAGCGGTAAGTTAAAAAAAAAAGAAGTGATGACTATACAAAAGTGCTTCAATATTAGTTTATTTGAATAAATATTTTCATCTTGAAACTATTATTAATTCCTGGTCAATTTGCGACGATGGACTAACTGAACTGACTGATGTTATAGTTTTTGGGTACACTAGGACTGACATCGTCGATTAAATAGAAAAATGGATTTCTCAAAATTAGAAGTTAGAATTACCTCTATATAAAAAATTAGAACCTAGAATTGCCTCCTTGTATATAAGTCAATTAAATGAACCACGCCATTTTAATCATTATCTAAATACTTTTAAAATGATATACAATACTTGTGTGTAAATTTAAAATTTTAAAGGAAAAAAATAATTTAAATAAATTTAAAAAACTTTGCTTGTCTCGTAAAAATGTGCAATTTGAATACTGACATTTTTCTATTTAAGGAGACGTATTACAATTATTTACCTCTCCATCCCCCAAGTCAACAAAAGTAAGCAACGGTCTCACCCCCTCCCCCAACGCTTACGTAAACATTTTTCAATTAATGTATTGTTTTATTTTTGCAAAGACAATATTTACTTTTTTACACTAATGGCAACCCTACCCCCTAGGGGGGAAAGGGGACTGTTAGTAATGTGGACTGATCGTCTTATTGCTAGCAATGTACCATGCAAAGACAATATTTACTTTTTTACACTAATGGCAACCCTACCCCTAGGGGGGAAGGACTCATGACCCCATTACTAGCAGTGTACCATGTCAGGTTGACCTCCACGCGGTTCCCCCTGGAAACCATCGTGATAAATTCCTGGTGAATTTGTCACGATGGGCTAACTGACCTAACCTCATGCTCATCTTATCATCCTCCACTGGTGCCCCGCCAGCGTAAGCCGTTAGCGCAGGCGGGTGCATCATTCCATTATCATCCATAAAAAAAACCCCTACCTTCCATGTCATCCGAAATAACCAAGCAAAGACCACCGCTCCCATAGTGCTTATGTAATACTTGAACGGCCTATTTAGATTGTACAAAAGTACGTAAATTTTAAAAGAAAAAAAGAATTACACTTTGTAATGTCGGTTGACACTAGTTTCAATGTCAAAAAGTGATTCATCCATCGAAGCATCCTTGGCGGGTCGTTGACTGCGCGAAAGTGAAATCTTGTACAGTATGCGAGCTGCCACTTGGCATCATTTACATCGAGAATAACAATGCACACTGAACATGTTCAAATTCAAATTCAAAATATCTTAATTCATGTAGGTCTTATTAATATTATAAATGCGAAAATATCTCTGTCTGTCTGTCTGTTTGTCTCGCTTTCACGCCAAAACTACTGAACCGATTTAATGAAATTTGGTACACATATAGTCTAGAACCTGAGAAAGGACATACGCTACGTGAATATAGTTGTATCCATGTATCATTATTATTACATAGTATAAAACAAAGTCGCTGTCTGTCCGTCCCTATGTATGCTTAAATCTTTAAAACTACGCAACGGATTTTGAAGCGGTTTCTTTTAATAGATAGAGTGATTCAAGAGGAAGGTTTATATCTATAATACATGTACACCCGTGCGAAGCCGGGGCGAATAGCTAGTTAGTAAATAAATGACATGCGTGGGTGGGTCGCGTGATCCGACACATGCGGCCGGCGCACGTGTGTCAACTGTCGATTGTTTCAATGAGAGACCAAGACGGACCCGTGGCCAATGTAGAATAGAATAGAATAGAATAGAAAATCATTTATTCAAATAAACTTACATTGAAGCACTTTTGAATAGTCATTACATTTTTTAATCTACCGCTCGTTCGGAAAGCTGTCTCATCACAAGAAGAACGAGCAAGAAACTTGCGTGTTGCTCTTTTAAATAATTTTATTATTACTTTACAGTTTTAAGTTTAAGTGTGTGAATACAAACCACCAATTAGCACTAATTCTATTAAATACTCAAATAGAAATAATATTGAATATATAACCAACTGGTTAAACAATTAATAAGAGGAAATCAGTCATAGTGATTAGAGCAGACCAGTCCCTACAAGCAGCACCCGTTCACGAGTATGACGGATGAGCCAGCCATCACTGCGCTCGACCATATTTTAGGGAGCCCAATGACCCGGCCCACCACGCCGCCACAAGTCTGGACATTTTAGTGAGCATGACTACTCAAAACACTAGACTACGTCAAAGCTACTTACAATTGCTATGTGGAACATGATCTAGAGCAGAGGGTCCCAAACTTGTGTCGTAGACCCCTTGCCATATTTTTCAGTTTTGGGTAGACCCCCCATTCTTACCTGGTTTTGTTTTTTTGTAAATTTCTAACTGTAGTAAAGTTTAGTGTAAAAACAAAATGACCGCTGTCGTAGACCCCTTGCAGTTTGTCATAGACCCCTGGGGGTAGATATAGACCATTTTGGAAATGACTGATCTAGAGACACTATGTTCATATGTTAGCATATATTAACATTGTAAATGCATTTTATATGAAAAATGCAAACAATAAAAATACAAAATAAAATTAATGTTTACTTTATTATAAGTTATTGTCATTTTTTATTACACGTATTTATAAGTATGTAGCATAAATATTTTATTTAAGGGATGTTAATGTAATGGTGCAATATATTGACAATACGAAATTGACATAATTTTATTATTTCTATAATAATAATAAATGTATAAGATGTAATTTAATTGAATTGTATAAAAGAATAATAATAGATTAATTCAAATATGTATTTGCATGTCTGTAAAGATTAAAAGTGAGATCTATATAACATAAATAACCATACCATCTATTATGTACTACTTTTATAACAAATAAATAAATTTCATTTCATTTCATTTTATTTCATTTCATGCACCCGCCTTCACTAACGGTTTACGCTGGCGGGGCACCAGTGGAGCATGATAAGATGGACATGAGGTCAGGTCAGTTAGCACATCGTGATAAATTCATGGTGAATTTATCACGATGGTTTCCAGGTATGAACCGCGTGAAGGTCATCCTGACATGGTACATTGCTAGCAATGGGTCATCAGTCCACATTACTAACAACTCCCTTGAACTCAATTCAAATTGAACTCAAATCCTTTCGGTGTTTGTAGGTGTTTTAAACCACTAATCCACGACGCTCTTGTCGCTAATAGTATTATATGTGTTTGTTGCAGGGGTGCGGAACTTGGAGACGTCAGTTTACTCAGACGGATGCCCAATGTTGAAGTACTGGCCTTCAGGTAATGATCTATACGTTGTGTGTAACACGACCACCTCGGTGGTCTAGTGGTTTAGCACACAGTTTTACGTCCAATAGTAGCGGGTTCGATTCCTCGCACGGCACATTTGTATTCATGAGTATGATTGTTTGTATCGGTCTGGGTGTTTTCTATGTATTTACAAAACGAAATATCTATGTATATGTATCAGTTATCTAGTACCCATAACACAAGCTTTAGCTAGCTTAACTTGGGTTTAGATGGCGCTGTGTGAATTGTCCTGAGATTTTTATCATTATATGTGTTCTAATTTTTATATAACTGGATGGTTTTTTATGTAACTGTAACTTTCATCCCCTATTTTATCCCCTTGGGGGTAGAATTAATCAAAATCCTTTCTTAGCGGATGCCTACGTCATAACATCTACCTGCATCCAAATTTTAGTCCGATCCGTCCAGTGGTTTGGGCTGTGCGTTGATAGATCACTATGTCAGTCACCTTTGAGTTATATATTTCTATCAGTTGTCTGGTACCCATAATACTTAGTTTGGGGACTAAATTGCGCCGTGTGATTTGTCTTAAGTTATTGTTATTAACGTTGGTTTCTAAAGAGCAAGAACATTGCTATGGGGACCCCTAAAGATACTACACCAACAGTTCCTAGTCCCTACCCCGTCTAACAAAAAATTGCTCAGGTGATGTTCAACTATAATGTGTTGTGTGAAGATACAATATCGAATGTGACAGTGTGAGTGTGAAGGTTGGAAGGCTTCCCGCCAGGTTACACTACCGGAGGTCGTGACCCGTCTTGTGCTGCATTGCGGCGCACCTATACCTACACGTTATCATCCCCACCGCTGAGGGGTGTGGGGTGTGGGCGCGACGTGTACTGTCACCACACACACACACACACACACAGAGTGTACAGCTCAGCGTGTATCACTAATGTCCAGAACAACAATATATCACTAGGTAGAGACGCCTGCAGGAATGCATCACGCAACAATTTGCAGTTTGATAGTCACTGATCTGTACTGATCATTATGACTGCTAGCTGTGTCCGCGCTGGAATCTGCAGGAAATTTATAGCCTATATGTTAGTCTGATGTATATTATATATAGCTATGTATTAATATGTAAAGTCAATAAATTGTTGTGGTAGTTGGTGGTTCGTATTTTTTTTTTTTATAAATGATAATGTAATGGTGCACCCGCCTGCGCTATCGGTTTACGCTGGCGGGGCACCAGTGGAGGATGATAAGATGAGAATGAAGTCAGGTCAGTTAGCCTATCGTGACAAATTCACCAAGAATTTATCACGATGGTTTCCAGATGGAACCGCGTGGAGGTCAACCTGACATGGTACATTGCTAGCAATAAGATCATCAGTCCACATTACTAACAATCCCCTTTCCCCCTGGTGGTTCGTATTCGTACGCTTCAAATTGGAAATGTAAAAGTACAATAACTATTTAAAAGAGCAACACACAAGTTTCTTGTTCGTTCTTCTTGGGATAAGACTATGACTATTCGAAAGTGCTGAAATGAAGTTTATTTGAATAAATGATTTTCTATTCTATTTTATTCTATTACTGTAAAGTTTCACCAAATTCCGTTCAGTAGTTATTGCGTGAATGACTAACAAACATACAGATTTATTTTGTTTCTCAAACCACTAAATATTTAAAACTAGCCGCATGGAATTTAACTGTTTATCAAAACAAATAAAATATTAAAAAGTCTGTTAGCCAACAGACATTTTTAGCAGCTGATCTTTACAGCCTCACAGCTGCATCAGTTGTCTAGTACCCATTTCATCATTTACCGAACCTTAGCGGGCGAGTGCAGATGGCACTCCAAACTCACGGAAGGGGTTATAGAGCGGCTGAAGGATAACTCCCGCCCCATGACTTTAGTATGTAGATAGATAGATAGATAGATAAATTCTTTATTCACAATTACAGACACATAACATACATGAGATACAGAAACAACACGAATTAATAAAAGAAATGTAGGTGACTTTATGTGCCGCAAAAGTGAAAAGGCAGCCAACTCAGCATAATGCTACGATGGCGTTCTGGGACCGTTGGAGAATTTTAATGTTGGAGCTATTAGGACTTCCCCACAGTTATATGCCGTAGATCCAAATTAGTTTGATGGCTACCTTCATCATCATCATCATCATCGCAGCCCGGAAGACGTCCACCACAGCTGAAAGATCTCCACGACGATCGGTCCTGCGCTGCTCGCATCCAATGCCTTCCAGCGATCTTGACCAGATCGTCGGTCCACCTGTCACCACACACACACACACACATAGAGAATTAACTTATTATCTACTGAGAGGTTGTAGTTTCTACCCAAGAGCCAGTACAAATTCTTGAATTTGAATTTATCTATAATTATAATATTGTAGCCTCCGTCCATCAGTGGAGTCACGCCGGTAGCGTGGAAAATGGAAATTGATTAATGGCATACGGCACGCCACACCGCGCCGACACGCGGCACGACACATACACACACACAGATTTATTACAGTATCATGATAGTAGAGGATAAACAAAAATATAAACAACTAGCTTTTGCCCCCGGCTTCGCTCGCATTAATTTATCCTCTTAGGGGTGGAATTTATCAAAATCCTTTCTTAGGGCATACCTACGTCAAAGTTTCATACAAACTTTCTTCCCTATTATATCCCCTAGTTAACTGATATATATCCATATATAGCTAATCCGAGAGATATGTAAATGTCTGGATCTATCTAATATATATATGTAAAGTTCTTGTGTCACAGGTTTCGTGTTTATACTTCTCCAAAACGGCTTGACCGATTTTGATAAAATTTTATAAAATTTCATCAAAACTCACTACCTAAAATCTAAAACCTGTGTTTATAGTACATTTTTATACCCCTATGTTAAGGATTTTTTATAACACGTATAAAAAAGTATTTTTCATTCTTTCGACAATTTTTTTTTATGTGTCATTAAGAAATACATACAACCCTAAATTTTCACCAACCCCTATTCTTGAATAGCGATATTAATTTATATGGCATAACAATCTTTGCCAGGACAGATAGTAAATTATGATATTGTTACAGTAACATACTGTTTATTACCCAGGAGTATACGAGCACTCGGGTAATAAACAATGAGATATATATCGGTCCTCGCTCGTCTCATCGATTTGTTATACCTATAGATACAATAACTATTTAACATTACGAGTATGACTACACAATTTTTAGTTTATTTTGTATTTATTATTACCTTTTTTTTCATTATAAACACTTCCTTTGCAAAAAAGCTTACTATAAAATTGAAGAATTCGTTAACGATAATAATGTTTTTATAGAAAAACTTTAAATCCATAAGACAATATTATCTGATTACACTAATAATGAGTGCGTAGCGATTTCTATGTTGATTATCGCATGCCTCTTACTTGTTATTGTGTAATTATTTATTTATTTTATTTTTATTTATTTAACTTTAATGCACAAAAACAATGTGTACATATGGCGGACTTAACACCATGCGGCGTTATCTACCAGTCAACCATGAGTGGTGCAGAGAAAGATTGTTGGCGGTGCACTAATATAAATAAGTAATGTCAAAAAAAAAAAGATATATATAAATATAAAGCAAAATATTTTAAATATAAATTTCAATCAAAATTAATAATAATAATAAACATACATAAATATAAATATAAACATATATATAAATATTATATATAAATAAATACATAATTATCTGATAATATTTAAAACTAGAGCCGCACAGTAAGAAAATATATATATATAAATATAGAGAGACTAAAATATCAGAAAGATGTTAAAAGGTAGAAAGACAGTAAAAAAAAGTTACAAATTTAAATAATGTTCCAACAATTTCATTTTTAAACGAAATTTTACTCGTGGCGGTCTTGATATCAAGAGGTAAGTCATTCCAGAGTTTGATAGCCCATTTCATCATGAGCCGGGATATGAAGTAAGAATTTTCGAAGTTCGTAGAGCGATTGGTGTTGTCCCCATGGAAATGAAATTTATTACAATGTATTCAGGATAATTAGGATCGTATAGAATTGAATATAGCGGCTGATAGGTATATTACGACGATAACGGATAGACTTTAAGCTGAGAACGAAAAGAAGAGACATGAGAATAGCAAATTAAAGATGAAACGGATAGAATTATTCAGAAGACGATCCAATTTATTTAGAAGATCAACGTTACAGAACAGCACACATCAGCATAATCAAGGGTGGGGAGATAAGGATTGGACAAGGAGGATTTTGGTACTTACAGGAAGGAAATTTTTTTTTAGTCTGTATAAGTTACGTAGTGTAAGAGTGACTTTATCTCATGTGTTATTCCAGCTAAGAGTGAAAATTAGCAAACCAAGATTCTTGATTAATGTATATGATTGGTTGATTGTTGAAAAGAACGGAGGTAAATGGAGAAATTTTGTTGATGTTGATTGCTATTAGAACTTCCCCACTTAGATTATATAAACCGAAGACCAAATTACGAATATGTTCAAGATCAATATTCATCATCATCATCATCAAGGTCAGACACAACAGACGAATATAACTGAAGATCATCCGGTACAAATGGTAAGAGCATTTAAGATTTTTAGTATCTCAATAAAGATAGATCGAGTCCTGCCTTGGGGAACTCCAGCTCGCACCAATCCGATAGTGACTGATTGACACGAATCGCCTTGACGTCCACGAAGATCGGGCAAACCATTTAACAACTGATGATGAAATCTAAGATGAGAAAGCTAGCGAGTAAGATATCATGGTCAACGATGTTAAAAGCTAAAAGTCCTTACAATAACAGTTAATTTAGATTTCCATTCCATCCCTTACATCCTCAGTGACTTTCAATAGAGCAGTAGTAGTGCTGTGTCCAGGGCGAAAACCTGATTGATAGGTGCTTAATAGTTTGTTTATGGAGATAAAGCCAGATAATTGCCGGTGGACTACAGCTTATAATTTGGAGAGGAAAGGCAAAATAGAGATAGGCCATCTTTAAAAAGTTGTGGTGACGATATTTTTGGAAGAGGGAGAACAAAAGCTTTGAGCCAGGATGTGGGAAACTGGAAAAGTAAAGAGAAATTGATGATAAATGATAGGAAGCAAATGTTCAAGTAAGAGAATAATCATAATCCTACTCACATCATCAAAACCAATACTATTGGATTTGATAGAGGATATTATCTTGCGGACTTCACATCAGTACACACACACAGGATTTATTACAGTATCTCGGCTAATGTAGTTGATTTTTGAACTAACACAAAAATATAAAAAATGCTTGTTTAAGTCGTTTAATGACACTACGAAGGAAAATCATTAGACTGTTTGCACAGCCCAATATATTCCATTTTTTTAATATTCGTGTGGATATATCGGCGTTTGGCAGCTCTTACCATATAGTTACAGCGGTTCCGAGCAATTTTGAAATTTCTCACACAACGGTCCCTATTCTTGAAAGTCCTAAAGGCACGGTCACGTATTACGTATTCCATAGTTAACCAGGGAGCTGGTTGTCTCTTAACATAACAAGGTCTGTTTGTCCATGACAAATAATTGTTAAATTATGATATTGTCGTTAATAGAAGAGGCAGACAGCACATGTGACTAATCGGCGTCAATCGCATCCTGTAGAGTTATCAACTCTCGAAAAGTTACGTACGAAGCAGTCCGGTTTTGGTTTAAAACTAAACAAATGTAAATATATATCTGGAGAATTCTCGATGCGTGCTTCAATCGATTTGTTGTGATCCAACCAAGTATCAGGAGAGTCTATTGTATGTTATGAAATACGAGATAGATTCCACGATACACGCAATTTACGAGATCTATAAGTGTCCCGAAGCAAGTCAGTATTAAAATCACCCATAATAATGTGATGTGTGTGTTCCGCCATAACAGTCTTTTTTCTATGGAAGGAGGACAATAAACAACACCAAGAACGATCCCAATACCCCTGATATCAACCGCCACGAATAAATTGCGCTGCCTAGTGGGGTGAGCTATAAACTATAATTAAAACCACTGCGTAGATAAATGGCTACACCACCACCCCGCCTGTCAGTGCGATCGTTCCGTAACAGAATATAACCAGGTAAGTTACATTGGAAGGTATAGAAAAACTTTAAATCGCATCAATGGTATTCGACTGACAATATTCTCCATGGTGCTGAGTTACAATGTGGCTATTCAGGTTACGGCGCGCACTAGAGTTCGTTGCTGAACACACTAATAATGAGTGTGTAAAGATGATTTCTTGAATCATTATCAGACATTGATTATCAGTAAAAAAAAATACAAATATATATATATATATATATCAATATAAATACTACTATACTATAGATACAAAAATTAAAATCAAGTTATCATAATGATGCAAAACAAACCGCCGGCCAACTGCTATCATAAATTAAAAAATTTATGTAAAAAAAACATCTATTCAAAAGATAAACACAAGTTTCTCGCTCATTCTTCTTGTGATGAGTCTGCGTTCCGAATGAGTGAGTAGAATCAAAATATGACTATTCAAAAGTGCTTGTAATGAGTTTATTTGAATAAAGATTATTTCTATTCCATTCAAGACTTGTTTGTAGTACGATGTTATTCCCCACTCCGATCGATCCCCCGTCCAATTCAAATGGGGATCGATATTACGACGGCCTGAGCCGAGATTCGAACCCCTAGCGGTGCCCTCAGACTGGCGTCGTATCCGTCAGGCGGGAGTTGTCAATAAATAAATAACTGTGGACTCTAAATAACTAACACAACACATATATCACGATGTAATAAAAAGGAAATTCAGTTGAGTTTCTTAACAGTTTTTCTCAAATGAATCTGTATAAACTGGATGGTAAAGAAAAAATATTACGTTCACAAGCGGCTAAAATGTCCTACATTATTAAATGATTTAATTTGAATTGAAGTATAGACATGCTGATAGTGAGTCAAGAACTTGTACAACAGAGAATAATCATGCATATAATAAAATATGTAACATATACATACTTTATTATACAGATAAAAAATATCTTGTAATTAAAATTGTGAAGACTATACTATTACTATGCTATTTGAATAAATAACTTAACAATTTGACACGTGTAATAGCCACCGGTGTGGTGTTCCGTTGGTGTACCACTATATATGGTGCCGTGTTAGGTGGCTGCGCGTGCGCGACGTGCACGACGTGCGTGCGTGCGTGCGTACCCTAATTACACGTGTAGGTACGTGACAAACGAACCAGTGCCTGTAGTAGAGACATTATACAGTATACTGTCGATGGTATTTTTATAATACTGATGATGAACGGTTTTTTTTGTGTGGTGTGACAAAAATGAATAAAATAAAGAATGAATACATTAGAGGAAGTATGAAAATGGCGCCGGTGTCAGAGAGGTTGAAGAGTAATCGTCTGCGTAGGAATGAAGATAATATTTTAAAGAAGGTGTTTGTTGCGGTTGAATAATACGATGTTGTTGGTCGAGACGATGTATTTTACAGATGATTATAAACTGACAATGTGTACATAAAAATAATGATCTTATATACTAAATAAAAGTAGGAAAAAAGGTGTTGACACAGAGATGTGGACAATATTGAATTTGTCTTATACATTATTAAATGCAATTATTATTTTATATATCTAGGCAGAATGTGGATGGTTAAGGCAGAAAAAGAGATGGATGGACTGTGTGAAAGATGATATGGTAAGAAAGGAAGTAAATAACGAGATGACTGCGAACAGAGATTAATGGAAGAGAAAAACATATTACGAGGACCACAAATAAATGGGATAAGGAACAAGCAGATGATGATGATGGTGAACGGTTTTTTTATGATGATAATGGAATGGTGCATCCGCCTGCGCTAATAGTTTACGTTGGAGATGATAAGATGAGCATGAGGTCGCCAGTTAGCCCATCGTAACAAATTCACCAAGAATTTATCAAAGATAGTTTCCAGATGGAACCGCATGGAGGTCAACCTGACATGGTATATTGCTAGCAATAAGAGTATCAGTCCACTACTAATAATCCCTTATTAGTTTTAGTAGGTATTCTTAATTTTTCTAGTAATAAATGTAGCCTATGTTACTTTTTTGTCAACCATAATAAACTATAAAAGAATATTAACCATTTGCATGAAATAATGTGTTTTATTATATATAAGAAATTGTTTAAAGTGAGGCTTAAGGCTGCTTTGGTTTAGCCGCTAATACATATTTACATGCGTTTTTTTTATTATTGTATTATTCAGTGCACAATATTTTTCTTCATTGCCCGGATTACTTTATTGAAGTATTAGTAGGTATCCCTAATTTTTTCTAGTAATAAATATAGCCTATGTTATTTTTTTGTCATACATTGTTGATACGACACGACTCCAACTTTTTCTTTAACTTGCTTGATATAGCTGTGTCTTGGTCTTCCCTTTCCTCTCTTTCCATCTATTTTTCTTCAATAATTTTATTAATTAGTTCGTCGTGTCGTATCAAGTGCCCCAACATTTTTCCCCGCCTATTCTCAATAATATCTATGATCTGTCTTTTTTCTTTAACCCTTTCGGGCACTTCTTCATTCCTTATTTTATCTTTCCAGCTAATTCTTTCCATTCTTCTCCAACACCACATTTCAAAGGCTTCCAGTTTGTCTCTTTCCTTTTGCGTCAATGAGTCGTTTCTGAGGAGTTTCAGAAAGACTGTGTGTCATTGATAATTATACCACGAAATTAGGTTAAAAACTTGTCCATTTACAACTAAGTGTGGAAGTTGAGTAATAAAAAAACAAAGTCTAATTTTACGAGCTCAGTAACCGACATCTATTCAGAAATGCTTAATTGTTCTTGTCTGCTAAATAGTAGTTTCCAAAATTACAGCAAATAGCAAGGACGCGAAGGCCAATTAGAGCGTAGCGCGCCAAAATTGCCCAATCAGCGGCGAGCGTGCGCGTCCGTTACCCAATCACGTTCGTTTGACCGTTACGTATGGGCATCGTGTCCAGGGGCGGATCGTGAATTTGTGGGGCCCTGGGCTAAATCTATTTAGAGGCCTACCTAATTATATTACTCAACTAAAAAAATACACCGACCAAAAACAAGCGACCAGAAATTCCCCGTTCCTTCTAATGGCATGTGTTGATTAATCTCAGGGTTGCCAGCCTTATCATAGGTTTTTTAACATTCTAGATATTTTTATATTCTAAACTAGCTACTTGCCCCGGCTTTGTACACATACATTAACCTTCCTCTTGAATCACTCTGTCTATTTAAAAATAACCGCTCCAAAATCCGTTGTGTAAAGAATAAACTGCCCAAAGAAGTCCCGTCAAAATAAGTCCAGCCAAGCCATTTCAGAGATTAGCCGGAACAAACAGACAGACAGACAAAAATTGAAATAAATGTTATTTTGGTGTATGTACCGTATTTGTATTCATATACATGTAGTAAAAATGGTTATTTCAATATTACAAACAAATATTGGAATTTTATTTATATAGATGTATCTATATCTATACAGACAGTCAGACACACTTTCGTAATTGTTACATTAATATAGATTGTTATATTATAGTTGTTATTTTGTGCGAGATTAGAACCCGTAACTACTCTAATGATGTGCATGTATATTGTCAGTATAAACAAGATCCGCACGCTGTGCGACTTCGCGGCGTGTCGGCGGCTGCGCGAGCTGTACATCCGCAAGAACGAGATCCGCGACCTCCGCGAGATCCGCCACCTGCGCCGCCTGCCAGACCTCACCAGTCTCTGGCTCGACGAGAACCCCTGCACCCACCACCCGCAGTGAGTCATCACCATTACTACCCCATAATGTATAATTTTACTAAAAATATAATAAATCCGTATGAATTAATGAGTAATCAAAATGGGACACTTATATTTTACTAGCCGTACACGCGACTTCGTCCGCGTGGAATTTAACTTTATTTATCTAAAATAAAATAATTTTTCTGAAATAAAAGTAGCCTAAGTTACTCATTATTACATCAGCTACCTGCCAATAAAAGTCCCGTCAAAATCGGTCCAGCCATTTCAGAGAAACAGACAGACAGACAGACAAAAATTGTAAAAAATGTTATTTTGGTATATGTACCGTATTTATATTCATATGCATGTAGTAAGAAACGGTTAAAACTAAATTTTAAAAACATAATATTGTATAGATATTTCTTTCTATTATATTATATTATATTCTTTTTATTATATTATATTTTATTATTCTTTTGTAAAAAAGCTTACTATAAAATTGAAGAGTTCGTTAACGATAATAATGGTTTTATTTATAGAAAAACTTTAAATCCATAGCACTGACAATATTATCTGATTACACTAATAATAAGTGCGTAGTGATTTCTATGTTGATTATCGCATGCCTCTTACTTGTTATTGTGTAATTATTTATGTAAAAAAACATCTATTCAAAAGAGCAAGTTTCTCGCTCATTCTTCTTGTGATGAGTCTGCATTCCTAATGAGTGAGTAGAATCAATATATGACTATTCAAAAGTGCGTGTAATTAATTTATTTGAATAAAGATTATTTCTATTTCTATTATATTTTCAGATACAGAATGACCGTACTCAGAAATCTGCCCAATCTCGAGAAACTCGACAATGTGTCCGTCCAAGCAGAGGAGGTAAATATATTATAAGTAATATTTATGTATGTTTATTTGTTTTTTTATTGAAATTTATATTTAAAATAGTTTGCTTTATATTTATATATCTTTTTTTTACATTTTTCATTTACATTAGTGCACCGCCAACAATCTTTCTCTGCACCACTCATGGTTGCCTGGTAGGCAACGCCACGTGGTATTAAGTCCGTCATATGGACACATTGTTTTTTGTATTAAAGTTAAATAAATAAATTAAAAAAAATAAGCGCGCACGTGTCAAAAGCGATTAGTTCAACAGCGTAATTTCATTTTTTTATATCTTTGAAATTTAGGCTATTTTGTGTACTGTAAATAAATACTCGTCCCATAAAACACCCTACAATAAATAATTCATCAGTGACCGAATTATCTTTTCAGCACTATCTGAAGAAACATTTTTTGAATGGCATCTTTATCGAATATGTTTCATCATCAACCAGATTCGAACACACGACCTTCTGGTTGCAAGTGGTAGTAGTACATCAGAAGACTGTTAACCATGCGTGTGTAACTGTGTTGTTGTGTCGGTTGCAGGTGCAGGAGGCGATGCGGCGCGGCGCTCACATACCGGACTCAGACGACGAGGGATATCCGCAGCAGGTGAGGCCGCCAGTCTGTGCTCAGGGTGATCATCATTATCGACCTCATCGTCACTATCATCACCAATATCATCATCATCACCAATATCATCATCATCGACAATATCATCTACATCATCGACCTCATCATTATTGACATGCAGGCAATACTGATGAAGGTGTAGCAAAATCAAATTATGGTCAATTAAATTAAGATCCGCAGAAGAACCAGAGTGACCGACATAGCCCGAAGAATTGCGACTTTGAAGTGGCAATGGGCAGGGCACATAGCTCGTAGGACAGATGGCCGTTGGGCTAATAAAGTCCTCGAGTGGCGACCACGGACCGGAAGACGCAGCGTGGGAAGGCCTCCAGCAAGGTGGACCGACGATCTGGTCAAGATCGCTGGAAGGCATTGGATGCGAGCAGCGCAGGATCGATCGTAGTGGAGATCTTTGAGGGAGGCCTATGTCCAGCAGTGGACGTCTTCCGGGCTGCGATGATGATGATGATGATGAAATTAATGATCTCTGAGATGCAGTTTCCGTTCTCACACTATTTGTATCTGAACTACAGTAGTGTGCCCACACGTACCTATATATTTGTGTTTTAAGTTTAGTATAAAGACATTTTAGTCTTTACCTATGAAGATCAAGTTTTTTGATTAAAACTTTTTATCTATACCTGGATAGTATGTACAATGTCTCAGGTACATTATGTAATTAATATGAATACTAGCCCTGGACTATTTACACAGCGCCATCTAGTAAGTTAAACAGAGCTCGTGTTATGGGTACTAGACAACCGAAAGAAATACTTATATACATATTTTTTCTAAATACTTACAAAATATCCAGATACGAACGTTCTTACTCATGAATACAAATGTTTGTACCGTGCGAGGAATCGAACCTGTGACCGAAGTAAAGTGTGCTAAACCGGCCGTCAAGTGTATAACGGGGGTGTGTTTGTGTGCAGGAGTCTTACGCGGAGTGTCGCCGCAGTTCGTGTTCCTCCAGTCCGGAACGGGAGCAGCCGAGGGACAGGCACGAACAGGTACCACCACCACCACCACCCTCGCCACCAATGTCACCGCCATCACCCAACATATTGTACATAACAATGCTGGTCGCTACTAATAAAGAATATTATTCGTCAAAATATATTTAATCTCCCATCAGTTCGGAATGCTTTCGATCTAAATAATGATAATCAGATACACTAAATTTTGTAAATGAATATATTTAGGAGATGTTGAATAAAATTTGGAAAATTGTATTTTCCATTTCATACTACTTCCATTCCAAATTTCACCCTCAAGGAGGTAAAATAAAAAGGGGATTTTATTTTACCCCCTTGAGGGTGAAATTTATACAAATTTTGAATGTCATATTTATTTACATTTAGTCAACAATCTAAAAATCCATACAGCTTTGCATCTCCCCTTTCAACCAATTACAACCCTTTTTTCGTCTTAAAAAGTAGCCTATGTTGGTTCTCAGGATCTAGACTATCTGTATACTAAATTTCATTTGAATCGATTCAGTAGTTTTGACGTCAAAGCGAGACAGACAGACAGAGTTACTTTCGCATTTATAATATTAATAAGGGTTAACTGCATGTATATAATAAATATAATATATATATAATATGTGGTGCGGTGTGTGCAGGCCAGCGACAGCTCGGAGGGAGGCGCCGGAGACCCCCCCGACCGAGCAGACGTGCCGCAGGTGAGCCACCACACACACCCTCTATTGTACACCCACCTCGCCGCACCATCGATCCCCCGTCCAATTCAAACGGGGATCGAAATTACGACGGCCTGAGCCAAGGTTCGAACCCCTAGTGGTGCCCTCAGACTAAAGTCGTATCCCTCAGGCGGGAGCTGTCCTTCAGCAGCTTCATAAGTCCTTACTTAGTTTGGAGTGCCATCTGCACTCGCCCCCTATCGTCCGGTGAAGTTGTAAAGGCCAGCTGCGGCCGACAGTATTAGAGTAGTCCAAAAAAAAAACAGGAGACCCTGTTTTTTTACATTCTACAAAAAAATTTACAGACTGACCTGCGCCTTTGGCCGCGTGGAATTTAACTTTATTTTTAAAATTATTAAAGTTAAACAATAAATATGATGTATATATAATACATACAAAGCTTGCTTTCATGTGTGTGGTCATTTTAATGTTCATTTGTTACTAACTGAACTCATATTGCAGTTGACCATATCTATTTATCATATCAATTTTAATAGTGTAAATGAAGTAAATATATTTAATGTGCAGTGTCCGTTGTCTCCGACGCGGCGCGCGATGAGTGGCAGCATGGTGGCCGTCGGGGCTGGCATAGCTCCCAACGGCGGTGGTGGTCACCCGGCGGACGACGAGCGGTACGAACACCCCGCCATGACGCGCTCACACTACGACGTGAGTACCAGCCGCACCTACACACACCACACTACCGGTGTGGTACATTCTGTGCTCTCTGCCAAGTTTTTTTTATGTATGATAATGTAATGGTGCACCCGCCTGCGCTAACGGTTTACGGCGGGGCACCAGTGGAGGATGATAAGATGAGCATGAGGTCAGGTCAGTTAGCTCAACGTGATAAATTCTTGGTGAATTTATCACGATGGGCTAACTGATCTGACTTCATGCTCATCTTATCACCCTCCACTGATTTCCAGGGGGAACCGCGTGGAGGTCGACCTGACGTGGTGCTTTGCTAGTAATGGGGTCATTAGTCCACATTACGAACAATCGCTTCCCCGTCACCACCAAGTTTAAACTCACATTAAGATTGCACCGTGTCAATAGCATATCATTTTGTGAAAATGAGTTCATTGTCATGTCGATTTCGTGTTTTCGTACATACATTGCATCACACTATATACCCTCAAGCTTTTGGGAGGATCTCGGCTGGCTACTTCACTAGTCTCGGCTCTACACGCACAACGGCCCAGATGAGATGCTCATTGCGGATAATAGTCCAATTTACAATTTACATTATATTATGTAGCCATAATAAATGTATACATTTTACTCTCTGCCTCTCTCTCTCTCTCTCTTTCTCTCTCTCTCTTTCTCTCTCTCTCTTGAGATACACATAATACACGCATCTAACTGGACACCTTGTAATGTAAAAGAAACTCTATTACGCGCATTTAACCTCTTAACTGGCTTGCCTCTCCGATCGATCCTAAAATTACAACGGCCTGAGTCGGGGTTCGAACACATAGCGGTGCCCTCAGAATAAAATCGTATCCGTCAGGCGGGAGTTGTCCTTCAGCCGCTCCATAAGTCCTTCCTTTGGTTCGTAGTGCCATCTGCACACGCCCGCTATCGTCCGGTGAAGCTCTACAGGCCAGATACGGACAACAGCTTTTTTATTTCTCTAGTCCATTCTTGCGCCATCTACCACTTTCTGTCTTCTCTCCTCTACTCAAAGGTTGTCTGGAAGAGATTGCTTAAGCGATAAGACCGACTTTTGTACCTTATTACTTATTATCTGTTTGTTCTTTATAAAATTGTTTGTCTTTCTGGTGTAATAAAGAGTTAAATAAATAAAAAACAGCATTAAGGTAGTCCGAAAAAAAACCGTTATGTATGCATAACTCTGGACATCTATGATGAACACATATTCATAGTTACACAAACAACTGTACACACACACTCTCTCATACACACAAATACAAACGGAATAAAGTAAATCTAATTTTGAATCACAATTTTGTATTCACGTTGCAATCTTCGTGTGATTTTCAATATCTGTATGCTCTTTTACTTCTATCATCATCATCTGCTTCTTCCTTATCCCATTTATTTGTGGTCGTCGTAATATGTTTTTCTCTTCCATTCATCCCTGTTCGCAGTCATCTCGTTATTTACTTCCTTTCTTACCATATCATCTTTCACACAGTGCATCCATCTCTTTTTCGGCCTTCCTCTGCCCTTATAACCATCCACATTCATATGTAACATCGTCCTTAGGATATGATCTTCATTCCTACGCATTACATGCCCATACCACGATAGACGATTACTCTTCAACCTCTCAGACACCGGCGCCACTATCATACCTCCTCTAATTCTTTTTTTTTGCTTGCTGTTTTACTTCTGTATGTACTTCTTCTAAATAATTTTACATGTTCTCTTTCTTATAAATGCTAAATATGGTACATGGCTATTGAATTAATATCCTTACTAATATTATAAATGTAAAAGTAACTCTGTCTGTCTGTCTCGCTTTCACGCCAAAACTACTGCACCGATTTAAATAAAATTTGATATTCAGATAGTCTAGACCCTGAGAAAAGACATAGGCTACTTTTTAATGCTAAGAAAGGATTGTAAGGGGTTGAAAAGGGAGATTCTGTGGAAGTATCGTAATTTTTAAAGCTAGAAGCCTAAAACTTATTTTTTAAGCTTTTGACTTTCAATATGATATTCAAAATTTGTATAAATTTCACCCTCAAGGGGGTAAAATAAATTAGTCATTCATCCTGTATTCCTTGCGAACGAAGTCGCGGGCACAGCACACACAGTAGTTTATAATAACTTTAAAATTTAACTCAACTTTATATAAGCTTTCTCTGCTATTGTTCATATTTATATATTTGACTAGCTTTTGGCCGCGGCTTCGCTCGCGTAAGTATTATTATTAATTAGGTGTAGTTTTTGCGACTTTACTTTTGTTTAGCGTTTGTAAAAAATTAGGGCCTACAAAGTCTAAGAAGATTTCCCCGTGGGGGTAGAATTAATCAAAATCCTTTCTTAGCGGATGCCTACGTCATAACATCTACCTGCATGCCAAATTTCAGCCCGATCCGTCCAGTGATTTGGGCTGTGCGTTGATAGATCACTATGTCAGTAGTGGCTAACTATGTAACAATTGTCTGTTTTAATATATCTATTTGTTGCTATAATATATCTAAAAGACTATTTATATTAACTTAGTACACTCTTTATGCAGTACTATTTATATTTATAACATTGAGAATGTTAGTATATAAAAATGAATAATCTTACTTGTATTATAAACACGAAAGTTTGTGAGTATGGATGGATGAATGTTTGTTACTCTTTCACGCAAAACTACTAAATGGATTTTAATAAAACGTAGCTTATATATCAAAACTAGGTGTTCCCGCGATTTCGTCCGCGTGGAATTTAACTTTATTTTTCTAAAATAGAAGTAATAAAACTAATACATTTACATCCTGTATCATCCCTTATTTTAACGCCATGGGGGTTGAATTCATCAAAATCCTATTTAAGCGAACGTCTTCATCATAGTAGCTCCAATCTTTAATTTCAGTTCAATCAGTCGAGAATCTAAGAAAATTTATACAAACTTTCATCCCCTATTTTATCTCCTAAGGGGTGGAATTTATCATAATTCTTTCTTAGGGGATGCCTACGTCATAGTAGCTTTATGCATGCAAAGTCTCAGCCCGATCGGTTTAAAATTGACAAAGTTTCATACAAACTTTCAACCCCTATTTTATTCCCTTGTGGGTAGAATTAATCAAAATCCTTTCTTAGCGGATGCCTACGTCATAACATCTACCTGGATGCCAAATTTCAGCCCGATCCGTCCAGTGGTTTGTGCTGTGCGTTGATAGATCACTATGTCAGTCACGTTTGAGTTATATATATTTAGATATATAACATATAGGCTATAAATTTGCGGGCGAAACTCGGGCACAGCTAGTAAATATGATTATCACGGTACGTACCGTGATAACGTTCATACAATGTGTACAGTATTATGTTATTTGTCAAATGTTTCATTGTATATTCTAAGTGAAACATATGACAGTGATGGAGTAGAGCTAAGTGTGTAGTGCGTGGTGCGTGGTGCGTGGTGTGTAGTGAGCGTGTAGTGAGCGTGTAGTGAGCGTGCGTGTGTTGCAGCCGGCCGCGCTGCGGTCGCCGGCGGCCGCTCTGCCGCACTCGCTCTCCGAACACAGCGTCAAGGTATATACACACTTACACATACAAAAAAACCCAACACGTATATGTACACCTTCCATACATATCCATACAATTCCAAAAAAAAAAGCAGAGGTTTCAGTAATAACTTTATTTCAGTGCGTTATCTCTGAACACTTCTATGTGAACTCATTTGGATGATTTTTTTTATACTACGATGGTGGCAAACAAGCATACGGCCCATCTGATGGTAAATGGTTACCGTAGCCTATGGACGCCTGAAACACCAGGGGTGTCACGTGCGCGTTGCCGACCCTTAAGAAACCTTAATATACCCTTCTTGAAAAACCCCATGCTGTAGTCTCGTGAGAAAACGTCGGCAGGAATTTCATTCCACAATCTAAGTGTATGATTCTTTTATTATTTAAACTAACATAATTATCTTAAAAAAATACGTATTGGAATGGAAAATAATTTGACGGCCCACCTGATGGTAAATGGTGACCATTGCCTATATATTACCAGCACTACAGACATCATGTCATCAAGTGATGACGGTGATATCAAACATGATTTGCTTACTATTCTGGAAAGTAAGTTTGTAAGGTTGTTGGTCTCCTGGTGGCGGTGTATGACTACATATAACGCTTAATAATAACCCAGTAACAATAAAAATATTAATATTATGATGATGCTGTTCATACTGCTAGTATTACGTACATATACATATTGTAGATCTGCTTTGTTCGGGTTACGAACACTGATTACACTATTTGCTTTTGACTAAATTGCAATAGTATATGCTGGTGGTCACTCTATTCTCCCAAATTTGAATTTAAAAATGTATCTGTATTATTGTAAACATGTACAACATTTATTTGAAAAGAATACGAGCTGAGTTTATTGTCAGTCCTTCTCAGCTCGCTAGCATTCAGAACTGATGGTAGATTTGATGTATCATAAGAGTCTGTAATAGACCTACATGAATGAAGATATTTTAATTTGATTAATTCTTTAAATATATTACAACGTAATTCTTAAATGAGTGATGTACTGAACTTTAGAATAACAGGGATATTGTTGTTTTAAAATTCAGTAAACAAATTATATTTGTTATGTATTTTTTTTTGCTTTTGAATGTAACAAATATACCGATAATCTTATATATAAAATTCTCGTGTCACAATGTTTAGCATATTACTCTGAAACGGCTTGACCGATTTTTATGAAATTTTATATGAATATTTAGTAGGTCTGAGAATCAGCTACTATCTATTTTTCATACCCCTAAGTGATAAGGGTTGTCCAAGCCTAACATTATTTTTTTATTTATATTTTCTTATTATGTGTCATTAAAAAATACATACAACCCTAAATTTCCACCCTTCTATCACCAACCCCGATTTTTTATAACGTTATTAATTTATGTGGCAAAACAACGTTTTGCCGGGACAGCTAGTAAACTATATTAATCCGAGATTCAGATATAGGCTTGTGTTTGTACTGTACTTTTGTTCTTGTGAAAATAAAACAAATATTTTGTACTAATGTAAAGGATTTTGTATTTTCCCTCCATTGATATAGCTCAGAATGACAAAATTAAAATCAGTGTTCTGTGTTCTTTTTTTTAAACTTATATAATACAATGTAGCAAAAAGGTTGCATACATTTATATAAGTAATAACACCAGAACACCTAACGTCTTAGACAGCTTGCTCCTTGACATGTTTGAGTTAAATCATATTGTGTTAAATGTTGCGACCTCCACAACATTTCATTACTTATTCTTTTTTATATTTCTTTTGACAGTGTCTCTAACTACGCCATCATGGATTGTAATCTTGAGCTTATTTTATTATTGTTATATGTTGCGGGTAAATGATACGATGTATATTACAGATGATAGTCTGACAATATGTACATACAAATATTGATCTTATATACTAAATAACAATAGGAAAATGTAAGGTGGGGTGACACAGTTTAGACACGGCAGTGCTTAGTACACAATATTGAATTTGTCTTACTAGACATTATTAAATGTAATTATTATTTTGATATAGTTTCTGTGCTACTTGTGAAGAGTTTATTGGAGTAATGTTGTTACTAGTGGTTCATCATTTCAGTCAATACACTGTCCTATGAGATATTAAAATGTTCCTGGAAGAGTACTTTAGTAGATACGTTCGCCCTTCACACATACATATATAGAGGTAAATATGTATTGTACTGTATGCAATAAAAAGTTACTGTGTTTGTCAGGAATACTCATACTCCAACGGCGAGTGTCGCTACAGTGGAGGCAGCAGTGGAGGTGGTCGGGACCGGGACACGTGCAGCGAGCGCGGAGTGCAGTCGCCGCAGAACTACCACGAGCAGTACTACGAGCGGAGCGACAGGTCACGACACCACCGCCATCATCATCTCCATCACCACCGCCACCATCACCACTCCACCACACTCACCACTATCATAATCTTCACCACACTCACTACGTCTACTATTACGCGCCTGACATCATTTGTTCTTTGTTTGTTTTTAATTAAAAGTGTAAAACAATTGGGTCACTTGATGGTGAGTGGGAACCGTTGCATATATATACACAAACAGCTGAATCATAGTTGATTTTGTGGACATAAAATAAGAACACCATGATGGTATTTTCATATAGTTATTTTTAAACTTTCGTGTTTAATATACATTATTTAAATTATTAACCGGGTCTTAATAGACCCGGTTAATCGCAATCGTCAATAATCAATAAAATCAATAATCGCAATTGAAATTAAAAAAACTCCTAATTGACCTCTAACAGAGAGGATGGCTTCAAATAACTTCTGCGTGGGTTCCAGTCATAAATAAGTTCAACCAAAGTTCAGTAGCATCAACAGTCGATAAGTGTACGGGTACGTGTGACGTGTCGTATAAAGACAATTATTGACGTGTCGTATAAAGACAGCTATTGACGTGTCATATAAAGACAGCTATTGACGTGTCATATAAAGACAGCTATTGACGTGTCGTATAAAGACAGCTATTGACGTGTCGTATAAAGACAGCTATTGACGTGTCGTATAAAGACAGCTATTGACGTGTCGTATAAAGACAGCTATTGACGTGTCGTATAAAGACAGCTATTGACGTGTCATATAAAGACAGCTATTGACGTGTCATATAAAGACAGCTATTGACGTGTCATATAAAGACAGCTATTGACGTGTCATATAAAGACAGCTATTGACGTGTCATATAAAGACAGCTATTGACGTGTCATATAAAGACAGCTATTGACGTGTCATATAAAGACAGCTATTGACGTGTCGTATAAAGACAGGTATTGACGTGTCTGAGGAAGTGTTGTAAGTGCAGGTGATCATTGTACTGTAATGTTGACTGTTTGTTTGTTGTTTGCAGGTCGGAGCCGTACCAGCAGGTGCCGCGCTGCGAGTGGGAGGGCGTGGGGGGCGGCGGGGGCGCCGGGGGCGGCCGCGAGCCGCGCGAGTTCTCGTCCGCCGTGATGGCCGACCACCGCGGGTTCACGCGCCGCCCCGTCGCCAGGGTCGGTGCCGCACTCTACTGTGTGTGGGGGGAGGGGGGCGGGGGGCCGCGAGCCGCGCGAGTTCTCGTCCGCCGTGATGGCCGACCACCGCGGGTTCACGCGCCGCCCCGTCGCCAGGGTCGGTGCCGCACTCTACTGTGTGGGGGGGGGGGGGGGGGGGGGGGAGGGGGGGGGGGGGGGCCGCCGTGATGGCCGACCACCGCGGGTTCACGCGCCGCCCCGTCGCCAGGGTCGGTGCCGCACTCTACTGTGTGTGGGGGGGAGGGGGGTGGAGGGGGCGGGGGGGGCCGCGAGCCGCGCGAGTTCTCGTCCGCCGTGATGGCCGACCACCGCGGGTTCACGCGCCGCCCCGTCGCCAGGGTCGGTGCCGCACTCTACTGTGTGTGGGGGGGGGGGGGGGGGGGGGGGGGGGGGGGGGGGGGGGGGGGGGGGGGGGGGGGGGGGGGGGGGGGGGGGGGGGGGGGGGGGGGGGGGGGGGGGGGGGGGGGGGGGGGGGGGGGGGGGGGGGGGGGGGGGGGGGGGGGGGGGTGGGGGGGGGGGTGGTAAAGAAACGACATTGTGTCATAGCAGTGCGAAAAAGTCTTAATAAATTCGTATTATAACGAAATTTGAACTATTGTATTAACGAAATACTTACAAATATTTTCATATTACACAATAAAATTATTTATTGATTGTTGTATGTCGTTTGCAGAACTCGAACCTGCTATCGGCGGTACTTTGCTTGGTGAAGGAGCTGGACTACCCGAGCCTAGAAGTCGCTGAAATGGCTGTCAGGTGAGAAGTCCATATACACACACAAAAATTTATCGATGAAAACAGATTTCTAGAAATAATGATCCCAATGACATGGTACTGTGTCCATCCCCATAGCTGGGGGGAAAGGGGATTGTTAGTAATGTGGACGCGTAACCCCATTGCTAGCAATGTACCATATTACGTTGACCTCCGCGCGGTGCTCCCAAGAAACCATCGTGATAAATTCAAGGTGAATTTACCACGATGGTTTAACTGACCTGACCTCATGCTCATTTTATCATCCTCCACTGGTGTCCCGCCAGCGTATACCGTTAGCACAGACGAGTGCACCATTCCATTATCATCCACAAGAAATAATCCCCATAGCTGTAGTAAAAAATATACTTATTTTGTGGGTGAATATGTTTGTTGTGTAAAATGTTGTGATGTATTTCTTGCTGTTTTCAGATGTCGTATGGACGAGCTCGCCAATAGCCAGTGACATACCGCCGACGGCGACAACGGAGCGCCGCACGCGACATGTCACGACATGTAACGCGTCGCACGACACATGTGACATGTCAGAACATGTAACGCGTCTACATGTAACATGTGACACGCCACGCGCGACATGTCCAGACATGTGTCACGTCGAGAGGTCGGAGAGGCGGCGTTCTGAACACGTTCCTGCGTATTCGTGTTATAAGATTGAAACTCCTTTTGTAACAAATACGAGAAGCCATATTTTAATATTTAGTTGTATGCTAAGTTTAGTACTCTACAAATTTCAAGGCGGGGAACATTGTCGAGTCTGTTTTTAGTAAATAAATGATTTAAGTAACTCGAAGATTGAATATTCCGGAACTTTCTAAACTGTGAGTACAATTTGCAGTCGTCGTCGTTTCATTCTTATAGCTTTGAATACCATTCAATGATAGAAAGAGACAGTATACTGTGATATGAATGTAACAGAGCGGGACAACACCACCCCCGCCTCTCCAAACCGACTGAGATTAAATGCAAATTATTAGTGTACATAAATATATTATGTTACAGACAAACTGACCGTATGAGTTGTTTTATGTTAATATTTCACTGGTGTACCCATTTTTTACTTTTATAAGGAAAACTAGCTACTCACCCCGGCTTCACGCGGGTGTACATGTATTATACATAAATCTTCTTGAATCTCTATCTATTAAAAAAAACCGCTTCAAAATTTAAGCATACATAGGGACGGACAGACAGCGAGAGCGACTTTGTTTTATACTATGTAATAATGATACTGTGAATTTAGACTTAATATACCAGTAAATGGTACAAACCAACAGACAAATTGTTATTAGTATATCATTACATAGTATAAAACAAAGTCGCTGTCGCTGTCCAGTCCTATGTATGCTTAAATCTTTAAAACCACGCAACGGATTTTGAAGCAGTTTTTTAATAGATAGAGTGATTCACGAGGAAGGTTGATATATATAATACATGTACACCCGGCCGAAGAAGGGGCGAGTTGCTATTATACAAATGGATTCGAATCGTTGTACATATATATGTGAATCTCATTGAGTAGTTTATAAAAGTTTTAAACACATTTAGTAGTTTTGTTCATTCATGTTAGATTATAGCGTACTTAAATATATATGTAAACTAGCTGTCCCGGAAAACTATGTTTTGCCTTATAATAAAAAAAAATTAGGGGTGGACCACCCCTAACATTTAGTGGGATGAAAAATAGATGTTGGCCCATTCTCAGACCTAATCAATACGCTCACAAAATTTCATGATCGGTCAAGCCGTTTCGGAGGAGTATGGGAACGAAAACTGTGACACGAGAATTTTATATATAAGATGTTTATGGTTATAGTTCTCTTTGAACATTTACATGCTTGAAATACTATTCTGTAACGTATAATTAGTAAAAATCACGTGATCTTACCACGTTTTATATTTACTTGCTTAGTTCCCGATATTCCGGCAGTGTTCCAACCACCATGATCACGGGTAAAGTCAGCAAATGTAAAACGTGGTAAGATCTCATGATTTTTACTAATTATACGTATAAATAATGACCGCGTCAAGTTTAAAACAATATATAACTATTCTGTCAATTAATAAGTCCCCTCCGATCGATCCCCCGTCCAGTTCTAACGGGAATCTATATTACGACGACCTGAGCCGAGGTTCGAACCCCTAGTTGTGCCCTCAGACTGTCGTATAGTCGTATCCGTCAGGCGGGATTTGTCCTTAAACTGCTCCATAAGTCCTTCCTTTGGTTTGGAGTGCCATCTGCACTCGCCCCCTATCATCCGGTAAAGCTGTAAAGCCCAGCTGCGGATAACATCATTAGAAAAAATAGAAAAAAAGCTAGTAATTGGCTGAAAATATGATTTGAATAAATGCTTTAGATTTTCTACGACTTACCGATGAGTATTTTCTTGTATTATGATTATAAATTATATTTAGATAGCTCTAAGAATTAATATTTCTCGTTTTTTCATGCTGTGTGTATTTAAAATTGTTTTCAAAATTTAGTGTTGCCACTTCAGGTATAAAATACCTACATAATTGTATAATGTGTAATAATTACATTTATTTTGGCAATCTTGAGGGTGTAGTAGTTTAACAGTCTGCCTGGACACCTGATGACTGCCGGTTCGATCTTGCATAATTTAAAAATTATTCATGAGTTTCCAATGTTTTTAATTGATTGTCATCATAGTGGAATATATAATAAATGTGTAATAATGTATTGTTTGTCCATCTGTTGTTTATTGCTTGTGACACAAGTTGCTTATTTCGGGACTAGCGCAGTACAATTTTTTTTTAAATTTATACATGCCTCATAAGTCTCTGAATATGACAATAAAAAAAATAAAGTTCATATATTTACTTCTGTGTGGTATAGGTCAGTTCAATTGGAATATATTTATGTAGCTTTTGCCCGCGGCTTCACTCGAGTTAATTTATCCCCTTATTGGTGGAATTTATCAAAATCCTTTCTTAGCGGATGTCTACGTCATAACATCTACCTGCATGACAAATTTCAGCCCGATCCGTCCAGTGGTTTGGGCTGTGCGTTGATAGATCACTCTGTCAGTTGGTCACCTTTGAGTTTTATATATTTATATATATATATTATATTTACGAGTTTTAAAACTGTATACATGCCAAAGCTGTTCACTTATTGTGACAGTAAAAGAAATCCTTACTAATGTTATAAATGTGGAAGTAGGGATGTTTGTTACTCTTTCACGCAAAAACTACTAAACCGATCATCATGAAATTTTGTACACATGTTCTTTGAGCTATTAGAAAGAACTTAGGATACTTTTATTAAAAAAAATGGATTCAATGCTAGTGAAGCCGCGGGTAAAAGCTAATAGTTCATACATATAAACGTAAACTGCACTGAACTGACCTCTACACAGAGTAATTATTACTCTTTATACAGATTAGGTTAGGTAGAAATATTTTGGCGCGCATTTTCATCACAGAATATAAACCGACTAAATGAAGTAGTAGCTTCTTTGTGTTATTGGCGATATAAATTGTTGTGATATAAGTTTTGTTTACTTTATACGATTAGAATTAAAGTTTTGTTATCTGACAATGAAATTGTGGGGATTTGATGTTATTGATTGTTAAGAATGTTGTCGTCAGTGATGGTTGCAGTTCGATTCCCGCACGATACAAACATTAATATGATCGTTTGTATTGGTCTGGCTCTTTCTATGTTGATTATGTATATATTTATCTCTAATATGCATATATTTTATTATAAATACAATTGTTCTGTTAAATAAAAATCCAGTGAAATATATTAAAATCCATAGTGGTTTAGATCATAGATGTGAGAACGAATGTACATAGAGATGTGGACAGCGTTTTTTTTTATTATTTAGAGATATTCGTGTGAATGAATGAATAGCGGACGAGTGTGAATTTAGCTTAAGAAATATTATTAGTAATGAGCAATGCAATTATTATGTTTGAATAATGTAAATAAATATCACATTAATAAAATTAATGTAAAATTATTAGAAGCGAACACGTGTGCCGACCGATTCTCAACCTTAATTCGTACGCTATAAGGCACGCAACAGCGCGTCGGTCGTAATTAGCCGCTAACATGAACTAATGTAAAGTAATTATTGAATAAATAGAAATTAAAATAACTTGCCGTAACATTCTGTAGTTTCATTTTTTGTTATCTGTATGTTTCGCGATGGATTTTTACTACTTGATGGGTTTATATATTGTTTAATTCCGCTACAATACGCATGTGTGAGACTACGAATATTCGGTGTGGAAACTTGACTACCGTTACTTTATTTATTAATTTATTTCAGGCAACTAAGCCCATATTATAAATACCTTATAGACTAACATACATATAATATAATATTTAAAAACTAATACAATGAAATTGTCTGTGTGATCACTGCACTGAAGACGGCAATTTGCCACGGTAGCGCCGATACACCACACCTTTCGGCCAGTAGTCCTCTTTCATGAAGGTGGGCAGCAAATCCGTTTGGACCAGGGCCATAAACGCTTTGAAACTCGCGTTGTGACTCGACTTCAGCTGCGTCACCCTCAATGTCAGGTTACTCTTGGTACGAATATAATCGACAATGTCCTGCTCCTTAGTGGCGTAATGTAGACTGGACAGGTACATTGTCGTGGTCGGTGTAGCAGCACGCAGCAGAAAGTCGGGCCCAGTGAGTGCAGTGCCACAATGATTCCTATTGACCCTGTTTGTGCGCCTCTTCTTTTGTACCACGATGAAGCCATCATCGTCGTGGTTACCAGTGGCAGCACACGTTACGACGTTCTACGACCTTCTCTACTATTAATCAGTCGTTAGCAGTATGGGTGTAGACTCAAAAACGGTCGGAGTTTGATCTCCACTAGAGAAGGTCGTAACGGTAGTCAAGTTTCCACACCGAATATTTGTGGTCTTATACATGCTAATTGTAGCGGAATTAAACAAAATATAAATCTATCAAGTAGTGAAATGGACTTCCGGAAAATAACACCTGGTTCGATTAAATATATTAAATACTCGCGACTTCGTCCGCGTGGAATTTAAGTATATGTTTCTAAAATAAAAGTAGCCTAAGTTACTCCTTCACCATCAGCTACCTGCTAATAAAAGGCCCGTCAAAATCGGTCCAGCCATTTCAGAGATTAGCCGGAACAAACAGACAGACAAAAATTGTAAAAATGTAATTTGGTGTATATACGTATTTATATTCATATGCATAGTAAAAAACGGTTATTTCAATATTACAAACAGACACTCTAATTTTATTTAGGTATATGTATAGATTTAGCCACAATATAACAATAACATATTTACAAAAGTGTTGTACTACGATTGTTATTAAAATTTATACATAGACTTGCCTCAGATCGAATAGTTTTTAATGTTACATAAATACTCAATGTAAACATTAAATCTGTCTGAATATTAAAAAAAATGCGTATTGACACAGTTGTCAAATTAACCGCGTCAGTGACTGTGTTGATGTGTGTGGTGAGCGTGGCGGAGAGCACGTGATGATGCAGCCCGACCGAACGCAACGTCCTCGTCTCAGGACCTACACCCCTCGGTCAGTACCACAGATAACATCGCACACTTACTATAATACTGGCTTAACTCAAAAATTACAAATTTTGGAAAGTCCACTTTATAACTGTGGAAATAAAGTCTAATTTAAAAAATTTCAAATTTCTTAATTACACCAGTACTATATATCGCATATCTAGTACTAGTGTAATTCAGAAATTTGAAATTTTTATATGGTCAGTACACATACGGCCTTGTACCGCGATGGTTATCACCTCATCACTGTAGCGTTATATATGATGTGATGAGGTGTAGTATGTAGGTATTGAGTATACACGTGTAATAATTGTAGTATCTATTGAACGTTAGTAAGTTTATTTGATACTGTGCTGTATGGCTTGTTAGTAACGTGTATGTACATTCGACGCGGAGTCGTTATGTGGACTGACCTTAGTCTATGGTATCTAGAGAGGTAGGAGTGACTTAGGCTACTGTTATTTTATAAAAATTCTTTTATTTTAGACTAATAAAGTTAAATTCCACGCGGACGAAGTCGCGGGAACAGCTAGTTTTAAATATACTGATCATACCTCGAGTATGGGCATGGCATATATGATCGACGGTTGATGAGTATGATTGTTTGTATTTCTGTCAGTTGTCTGATTCCAAAGAAACGAAAAAGATGAACCCAAAACAATGATTGCTAGAATTTTTGTCTCTGTATTTGTGACGGTTGGACGTGCTCAGAAACGGCATCACCGATTAAAACATACATAATATTATTTATTGGTTTTATTCCAACCGATTTACAACTTATAAAGTTGTAGATACAAGTACCTAGAAAGCTGCAAGCTCAGCTAGTGGTCGTACATACATGTTGCGTCGTGTGCAGGTAGCGGGCAGTCGCGATGTCTCCGCGCTCCTCGTCGGGCTCCTGGTCGCAGACGACCGCGGGGGGAGGGGGCGGCGGCGGCGGTGGGGGCGGGGGAGGGGGCGCCGTGGACGTCATCGACCTGGACCGGTTCATGCGCGGAGTGAGGCCCTCGCTGTCGCGGCGCTCCGGGCACGACATGCGGTAACAATACAGACATTTTAGTGGATGAAACTGGGAGAAGGGGATTGTTAGTGATGTGGACCAACAATCCTATTGCTAGCAATGTCAACCTCCACGCGGTTCCCCTTGGAAACCAACATGATAAATTCCCAGTGAATTTGTCACGTTGGGCTAACTGATCTGGCTTCATGTTCATCCTGTCATCCTCCACTGATGCCCCGCCAGAGTAAACTGTTAGCGCAGATGGGTACAATTATGTCAGATCATCACTTCGTGGCGAATTCATAAGGATCTGATCACATCAGCAGTATGATGCTAAGGTTACAAGTAGCGAAAGATCGTGGCTGGCGATAAGCCTCTTCTACGAGGAAGGAAGCGGTGGAGAGGTAGCGCAAGTCTGATCTTTCCTCTGATCCGCCGGAGAAGGAAAGTCCAACCTTTTTTTTTATACCACGTAGGTGGCAACAAGCATACGACTCATCTGATGGTAAACCGTATACCGTAAACGGTTACCGTAACATATGGACACCTGAAATACCAGGGGTGTCACGTGCGCGTTTCCGACCCTTAAGATTTACAGGCAGGGATGTACCCAACGTCAAAAAAAGGTTAACAGGTGTTACTGTAAGCATTTGGCGTGCCTTATGTTTTGATGTGGACGCGTGTCGACAGCGGACGGCTGGTGGTGGACGGCGGTGGTGGCGGTGGTCCGCGCCGCGCGGGGCGCCACAAGCGGCACTCGCATGACTCCGGTCTCTCGGACGACAGCTACGTGCCGCGCACGCGCCGCCTGCACAGGTACCAACAAATACACTGTGTCCCATATATCATAACACGAACTCTGCTTACCTTGTGACTAGATGCTGTTGTGATTTGTCCAGGGTTATTATTATTACGATTTTCCAGACGTACAAACGCATTGGACGGCACGAATGTGTCTCCTCGCGTGGCGAAGGACTCCGCCAGCTCGATGCACGCGTTCCGTGCGGAGTGCGAGCGCGCGCTCAGAGACCAGCAGCGACAGCTGGCACGGGTGGCGCTGCTGTGTGAGAGGCTCGAGGCCGGACAGCGGGGGCGGCCCACCGCAGACACCAGCGACGTCTCCTCCTCCAGCCGCAGCACCAGGGACCCCAGGCGGAAGGACAAGCACAGAGTACGTTGACGTTCCCACAAGATATACAATGGATTGTGTTCGTAAGAATTATTCGACATGATGCCTTACCTTTTACCGTTGCACCGCCATCGACAGGGACTTCGTCCCCACACGGTGGTCTCGCGAGGAGTTTCCTTCCGGTTACATTCAGATTATGGAACAGGACACAGATTCTTCTCTTCAACAGAAATGTGCATACGTAATGATTTACGTCTCTAAATTAGTGGCAGTTGTTCATTTGTCTTGTTGTATTTTCGATATTTATTCTATAGGCAGAAGAATGCAAGACCTATAAGATTATAATGACAAAACTGGACGAGTTGAACCGCCTGTTCGCGGCGCGCGCGCGCAGCTCCCCCGCGCCGCGCCCCCGCGCCCGCTCCGACAACCTGGTCGCCACCGACGCCAGGGTCACCACCCCGCAGGTGCGTTCCTCTTCTCTTTTCTCTCTTCTCTCTTCGGCTCGAAGGACCAAATTGTGAGACTGTTGTGCAGTGAGTAAGTTCTGAGGCATGACACCTTGGTAGGTAGGCATGGCAAGCAATTACCACGATGACATGCTGATACGATGTCGTCCATGCATAGAAGAGACTATTACCACTTACCATCAAATGCAGTTGCATGCAGTAGTTGTCTAAACAAATTATTCAGAATTACAAATAAAAATAATGAGATGAAATGAGACGAGACGAGACGAAACAAGTTGAGATGAGATGAAACGAGACGAGACGAGACAAAATGAGATTTTATTGCATAAATTCTGGTACAAGTTGTGGTGGTGTGTAGTGGTGGTATATTAAATCATATCTTGTTTTACACATTTAGTCATTATTGACATGCAATCGCCAATTTTAAATTCCATTAAGGGACCAACGGAAAAGCCTGCCGGTGACACAGCCGCGCCGCGGCTAGTGGAGCGCGCGGTGGGCGAACCGTGGAGTCCCCGCACGAGCGCAGGCCACCAGCGAAGCGCCCGCACGAGCGTGGGCCATCAGCGGAGCACCCTAGCGAGCAGGGGCGATCCGTGGAGCCCTCGCAGCGTACCGCGGCCCGAGCTGTGCGCCGTGACGCAGGCGTACGCCCTCGACATTGCCCCGCACCACCGACCCAACGTGGTACAACATTACACCAGGTATCACGTTACGATATTGTTTTATACTGGTGAAACATCACTAACACTTATAAGAGTACTCATAAATTGTAGAAAAGACAACGTGTTCAAAGTTTCACTCCACATTTATTTAAGTTTTCTTTTTCGAACCATTCTAATGCTGTTGGACGTAGCTGGCCTTTACAGCTTCACCGGACGATAGGAGGCGAGTGTAGGTGGTACTCAGAACCCGAGGAAAGATTTATGGAGCGCCTGAAGACCAACTGCTGCCTGACGGATTTGACTTTAATGTGAGAGCACCTCTAGGGGTTCGAACCTCGGCTCTGGTCGTCGTAATGTCGATCTACGTGTGAATTGGACGAGGGATCGATTGGAGATGTCGTGTCAGATAGACACAGATCGAGAGCTTTTTATTTATTACAAAATAACAAATAGACCTTCACGACAGTTATCCTATATGGGGGTAGTCAGAGGCGCTTTTTATGGACGGCGTCATTGTGAACGCAACACCTCTATAAATTTTGGAAATCGACATGGCGAGCCCCCTACATAGAGAGCCTACTACCGCCTTCTCTTGGACTAATTTTCAATTTATCAGACCTATTTTAGGTAATAGAATAGTACCAAACCTATTTTAGGTAAATAGGTCTGAAGTACAAATAAACATACAAAGCTGTTTTGTTGTCGGTCAAAGTTGATTTCATGACCTTTTGGGTGTAAAACGGAGTAGTTGCTGTGAGATGCTTTGCTTGCGGACTAATAGTAAATATATAACTAATATCTGAGTGACTGTGTGACAGCGCGGTAGATTACGGTCCAAGCGCGGAGGGCTCCGATGGCAGTGGTCGCGAGTCACACTGCGCGTTTGACCTCGACGACCCTGTTCATGTAAGTATCAACAGTAATCACAATTGGATTACTCTTAAATAAATTCAAAACATCTGTTAAGTTATATTTACTGAGCAAAGCCTATTACTCACTAAACGATTACTTGAATGACGAGCGTGCATGCCAATAGTTGTTCATGTACGGGATTTTAATTTAATGTTAGACATAGACACCTATATAAATATACATTGTAAATAAAATTTAAAAAAGCTTAAAAAAAAGATAATGCAATTGAGTTTCTTGCCAGTTCTTCTCAATTGGATCTATATACCGAACTGGACGAGTTGAAAAAATACATAATATAAAAATTTTTAGCTAAAATATCCTACATGAATAAATGATTTTTGAATTTATTAACACATTTATAAATACTGGCTGTCTATTAGTTGATAATTTACTTATGGATCATGAATAGATATCTTTTTGATATCTATGCTACTCTGGTTTACCGGAGGTACGAGTAACTCGTCGAGGAAGCATGTACTCGTAAGCTAGTTATATTACGACTAGTGTTGCCAGGTGTCCCCATTTGCGCGGGACGTCCCGATGTTCAAGAGTATGGGAACGCGACCCGATTTGTACCTGATCTAACCGATAACCGATTTGTACCGATAAATGTCTGATTAAGACTAGACTAGACAAGACTGATTACTTGTTATGTAAGTTTAAATACATATTTGATTTAGGTAATTAATATAATACTATACTTGCACTAGTAGTTTAAAACGCAACAAATTAAACGCAGACTCAAAAGCCCCTTGTTTATTTACTGTCCCGATCAGCAACACTAAATCCACAGAATTTTTTGAGCTCGTGTACCGATTTAAATCAAATCAGACCTGGCAACACTAATCGACGGAGCATCATCAATGAGAAATGTTGCAAAAATGGGAAAATTGTGGCGATTACGTTGCGCGGGGATAGCTAGTTTTTTTATTTATTAAAAACTAGCTACATACACAGGGGCCGTTCAAGTATTACGTAAGCACTATAGGGGGGCGGGGGGTCTTTTCTTTGCTTATTTTGGATGACATGGATGGGTGGGGGAGTCTGTATGATGATTACGTCATCGGTCGTAATTTACTTTTTTACACGAATGGCAACCCTCACATTGTCTTTGTTAAAAAAACAAAACATTAATTGAGAGATGTTTACGTAAGCATGGGTGAGGGGGTAAGAGCTTTGCTTACTTTTGCTGACAACAGGGGATGGGGGGTAAATAATTGTGATAAATCTGCTTACGTAATACTTGAACAGCCCCACATCAGATACCCCTGCCACACAATATTTCTAATAATCGTGTGCTATTTTAAGTTATAAGTGCAGTAAATTGTATATAATTTACTTTCTTTTAAAATATGGTTTGTCAGTTGTACGCGCAAGCGAAGAGGCTGCGAGCTGCACACGCGGGGACGCGGCGCGCCCGCAGCGTACAGTGTAGGCCGCGGGGGGTCGGCGCGGACGGCGCTCAGGACGCGGGGGGTGCGGGGGGCGCGGGGGGTGCGGGGGGCGGTGCGGGGGGCGGCGGGCGGTCGCTGTGCGCGCTGTGCCGCGGCTACTGGCGCTCCCTGCGGCACTACGTCGCCGTGCAGATACTGTGCTGCCCGCACGCACACCCCGCCGGGGGGCACACCTAGCTATATCATACTATTATATGCATTACGTTCTGAATTTGTTGTCTTATTTTTAACACCGTAGAGTGTGAGAAATTATTATTATTATTAAATTGAATCGATTCTTGAAGATGGTAATGTACGATAAGGTCGATTGCAAATGGTAATTTTTATACTACGATGGTAGCAATCATGCATGCGGCCCATCTGATGGTAAACGGATACAGTAGACTATGATATGCCGCTCCTTTATTAGATCTAAAATGACTACTTGCGCGTCGTTATAGTGAACCGACTACCTAGAAATTAATCGACGCAGTACGCTCGTTTCGTAGCCCAAACATTGCATGCATATCACACCGCTAAAACTACTAGGTGCATATATAATAACTATTTATATAAATTCTTTATTATTTACATATACGGGTCATTGGGCTCCCTAAAATATGGTCGAGCGCAGTGATGGCTGGCTCATACGTCATACTCGTGAACGTGTGCTGCTTGTAGGGACTGGTCTGTTCTTATCACTACGACTGATTTAATCTTATTGTATATTTATATTTGAGCCTAGTAAATTAGTGCTGGTTGGTAGTTCGTATTCACACATTTCGAATTGTAAAATGTGAACTTACAAGAATTATTTAAAAGAGCAACACACAAGTATCCTGCTCGTCTTCTTGTGATGAGACAGCTTTCCGAATGAGCGGTAGATTAATAAAATTGTTATGACTATTCAAAAGTGCTTAATTTATTTGAATAAATGATTTTCTATTCTATTCTATATCTGTTGACCTACGTGCTCAGTCCAGCGTCACACAATACCAACTATATTATACCAATATACGTAACTCTCACTATGTTAAATAAATATTCGAAATTTCATGCCAAAAGGTAAATACCAACCTCTTCGTTCTGAAATCAGGCCGAAAACATAATAAAATATGGCTAACGGACGAATACAAAACTGTATGACGTGACAGTTGATCACAAGCAGAACAAAAGAAGTTTTCGGCTGTGACACAATGGAAATTGTTAGTGTTGGAATACACAATAGCAACATGTAGCGGGTGCCGCGGAGCTGGTGTGGCAACATGAAGTACTCGCGAGCTGGTCTGTGGTGGCTGATCTGTATCTTGGTGCAGGTAGGTGGTAACGATGTACCACTGTTGCAGATTGAGACGATGTATATTAACAGACAAGCTGTTCTCGTGACTTCGTTCGCGTAGAATTTAATTATATTTTTCTAAAATAAAAGTAGCCTAAGTTACTCTTTTTTACATCATCTACCTGCCAAAAAGTCCCGTCAAAATCGGTCCCGCCTTTTCAGAGATTAGCCAGTACAAAATTGAAAAAAATGTTATTTTGGTGTGTACATACACCAAAATAATCATTTTTATATGCGTATAAATGTAGTAAAAAACGGCTATTTCAACATTATAAACAGACAGTCCAATTGTATTTATATGTATAGATGATTTCCTGCGATATCCTATAGAGACCAACTTGTCATGACATTACTAGAACTGGTATCTTTAGTCCAAATTACTAACCACCCCCTCCCCCTAGTTTTTATTGTATTACCATTTGTAGGTGGTGGGTGCTCTGGCCTGTAAGAGGAAGGGTGCGTGTCGTCCCCCGCGGTGTCCGGGCGGCTGCAAGCCCAAGTACTGGTGACCACAACACTCAAGTGTTGGGTTCACAAAGTACCACAGATTGACACTACTGAATTCTTTGGTTGTCAATGATGACGGTATGTATACTATGAAATGTATTCACAACACAAAACTCTATGCCACAGCATATTTTTTTGTTTTTTTAATGATGATAATGGAATGGTGTGCCCCTCTGCGCTAACTGTTTACGCTGGCGGAGCACCAGTGGAGGATGATAAAATGAATATGAGGTCAGATCAGTTAGCACATCATGGCAAGTTCACTAGGAATTTATCGCGCTGGTTTCCAGGAGAACCGCGTGGAGGTCAATCTGCCATGGTACATTGCTAACAATTATTAGTCCACATTACTAACAAATGCCTTTCCCGCCGTCACAGCGTAGCAAGAACAGTTTGTCAATAGCAAAAAGAAATTAAAAATCCGTCCGAATCCGCCGATATGGAGAAGCTCGTTCGTGTTATAATTAATAGTACTCGTATTTTGTAAATTGTTCAAAATTGAGGCAAAAGTTCAAAATGAAGCAAGAACATGTTAATAGTATCCATTTATTTTTTCTACAACGCCATCTAGTGAGCACTGGACAAAATCGGTCTGTTAATATAACTTCCTAAATAAAACCTAAAATAGACTTTAAAGCTATAATGCATAAGGTCTATTTTTAACGAATACGTATATTATTGAAAGTAAGCACAGCTAAATAGCGCCGTCTACTTTTATAACGCCATCTAGTGAGCAATAGCAATAATGTGAGCAATTCAAATTAGGTTTACTTGAATAAATAATTTTCTATTCTATTCTATTCTAATAGACGACCTATAAAAATAAAATCCCTAAATGACTATTAAAGGTCTGTTTTTATTAAAACATTTTAATTTTGTGCTCTTTGGAACGGGACAGTGCCGTTATCCTGCCATCTGTCAAGTGGTGACCGTTGCCCCCTATACGCAGCCAGTCATTTTATTATGATCGATGCTGTCTACCGGCAGATTTAACCCCCAGTACCTACTCGTAATGTCATGTTAGTTTTCTGTTGGTGTCGGTGGTGACAGTTGAGGGCGGTGGCGTGGTGCGCGTGGTGGTGGCTGATGTGTCTGGTGACGGCGGCGCTCGGCTGCAAGAAGAAGACCATCTGCCGGCCGCCGCCGGGGGGCAGGCCGGGCTGCGGCGGACGCACCAATTGATATATCCCCCTAATGACATGCTATACTCTCATTTATAAAGGTAATACCACAATACCACTACATTCCAAATGTGTTCAATAGAAATATATTGAAAAAAAATGTACCTGGAGAATTCAATTATTTAGACCTACGTTAAGCAGAGCTTGTGTTATGGGCGCCAGACAACTCATATAAATGGTTAGATTTTATTATGAATACATACATAACATACACAGAAAACCCCTAGCAGTAGTGACCGCACGCTAAACTCGTATCAGAAGATATTTTAATTGCTGTCGGACTTTCATGTAAACTGTAAAATTTAATGAATGGTGGTCGTATTTTGAAAAGGACATTTATTTACCAAGCAGATGTATCAGTCAACGGTTGAATGGGATTGCTGTAATCTGTACATGCCTTATAACTATCATTTGAAAAAAATTATTAATTGAGAGCAAGTTATATAGAATCCATAACATATATAATGAATACATCAAATAGTGATCCTCGACTACAGACTAATGTTATCATATTATTAGATTTTGTGTAACTATTTAGAAATAAAACGAATAGTAAATTTTGTATTTTTTTTATTATTTTTCTCTTAAAAAATAGGAGTGCTTACATGACTAAACCAATCAATAGTTCCTGAAACAACAAAAAGCAGTGTGTTACATTCAATAATATATAGAATACAATGCAGAAGTTGTGACCAGAGAGAGCCAATATACAGATAAATATATATTCCAAATAAATGTCACACTAAAAAGATGTTGTGACAAAATGTTATGTGCATATGCGGGACACTAGTAAATAATAAAACAATAGAACAAATGAGTCCTATATGAATATAATTGCTTAACTATTTCAGATGAGAGATATTCCTTTTACAGATAAGTCCATGTTTGCCCACTTTGTATATAATTAAGTTTTCTACTCTATTTAAAAGTGCAATAAACAATATAATATACATATATTTCTAATATATTAAATTTTGAGTCATCTGTGAGTGCTGTACCACATAACCACTAGAATGATATATCGTAGGTGGTGGTATTGGAACTCGCTGGTATGTTAAAAAAAGCAACACCCAAGTTTCTTGCTCATTCTTCTTGTGACGAGTCTGCATTCTGAATTAGTGGTAGAATAAGAAAATATGACTACTAAAAGGAAATTTGCTTTTATTGAGTTTATTTAAATAAATATTACTTCCATTTGTATGTTATGTTCATTGATAAATAATTTAATTCTTATTATTTTCAAATATACTTTTATGTTTTAAATTAATATAAGAAAATTGAATATATTTATCTTAAGGTGAATAATAGAGAGACTATTTTAATATTAATGAAGTTGGGATGTAAATTGTTAGTTATACAACTTATCTATCTACAGCTATAAAGGCAATATTAATATCACGCCTGGATCTTTCAGGTCTGAAAGCATTAAAGTCAATGACTGATTACACTTCAGAATAACATTCCACAACCATACCATAGTGTGTGTCATTCTTTATAAGATAATGATTGGTAAAGTAGAAATATAAACAAAAGAGTGGCGGGAAAGGTGATTGTTAGTAATGTGGACTGATGATCTTATTGCTAGCAATGTACCGTGTCAGGTTGACCTCCACATGATTCCCCCTGGAAACTATCGTGATAAATTCTTAGTGAATTTGTCACGATGGGCTGACTGACCTGACCTCATTGCTCATCTTATCAACCTCCACTGGTGCCCCACCAGAGTAAGCCGTTAGTGCAACATTCAATTATCATACATACAAAAGAGCGACCCTAAGACATATATCAAAACAAATTATTTTGTTATTATTTGATGTAATAGTAACAAATATTGTCAACGAGATGTGAGTACTCACTTAGTCAGTATGCCATCTTTCTTGGTCAACCTGACGATGCAGTCATCTGACTCTCCCATCCGGCGGATGGCGCCGCACACCACGTAGATCTTGGAGGAGTCGGCCGCGCGGCCCGTGGCGGGGTCCACGTCCGCGATCACCAGCTGTACCGACGCGTGGTCCTTGGCGTGGATGAGACGGTTGCTCGCAGAGCTGTACACAAATGACAATTAATAAACATTTGGCAGTCTTAGGCCTTTTCTTAACAAACATATGCAGATTTTGACAAATTAAAGAGGAAACATCACTAACATTATTGAAATTATTCCAAGTTTGAAAAAATTGCCAAGTTGAAGAGGAAATGCATGAATGGACTACAACACATTATATGTGGTTGTAGTCCCTTCATGCATAAACTAAATATCGTCTTTGGAAAGTAGACCCTCTATCCTGAGGAGATAAAAACCATAGCCTTTAAGAATATTTTTAAATCCTTGCCCCTGACCTTGTAACTTTGAGGACTACTAACTGATCTATACAGGTTGCAGTGATTCAGATAGTTTTAGCACAGAGTAATAACAAAAACATATAAACCATTAATTCATACAACCGTCCAAACATATAGCAACGTCTATCTAGAAAAATATTTTTCATATGATGAATATATTTTTATTAATACACGTAGTCATTGTAGAATTTACCCTCTTTATACATTCAAACTGACAAGCTTAATTCCCCTTTATATCCAGCAATGTACCACAAGATATATATAAATAAATTATATTATTGTTTAGAGGAACATCAAGTAAATACTGTCATATTACTTTTTTTTGTGTGCACGGCTGCACGCCTGTAAGGCAGGTTCATCTACCACACAGTAATATTGTTTGTAATCAAAATAACATCGTGAACAACCAATAATCAGACATTATGCAATAAATTTACACGAACAATTTACATTAACATTTTGGTATACCATTACAATAAACTCAAAAACGTGTAACAGATCTAACCTAAAAACTTACCATTTCCTTGGGCAATACAAATCAACGAATTCACCCGCGTCGTTCTGCATTTTGGTTTTCTGAAATAAATAATCACTTAATAATATACACTGTACACGGTATCCAGAAGAAAATTCACATTAATCACAAATTAACAAGAAACTAACCTATTTGTTGACTGGATGGCCAAACGAAAGGTAAAAGAGAAAAAAAATTAAAAGAACGAATGAAGTGATTGAACAAATTTTTTTTTTACATATCGACATTTCTAACATGGGATTCAAGCACTTTGGCCATATTTTTTTTTACACAATAAAGGAAGACATAAATAGTAAATATATTATTATTAAATAATGTATTTACTTTTTATGTCTTTTATTGTATTTTAATAATAATAATACTTCCGACTATGTATTAAAAGTTAGTATATGTAAGTTTCTTGCTCATTCTTCTTATGATGCGTTCCGAATGATTGGAAGAATTTAAAATTATAAAGATTCATATTTGTTTACACTAAGTTTATTTGAATAAAGGTTAAGTTGTTATTTCTTTTCTACTATTATCTTGATAATAAAGTGTCACTAGCGTGCAAGTAATCACTAAGATTTATTGCTCTACTCATCGGCACTTACCGGCACGCTGAATGCTTAGATTCTACTCAATGTGTTTCTGTCTAGTGAAATCCATACATAAATGTACAAATTAACGATGTAGTTTAAGAAAAGTATTTAAATACAAAATGTAAATACTTTTTTTTTTGTAATTACTGTTTCAAATGTAAAATGCCAAAAAGTTTTGTATATGAAATGCTTATTGTATGAAATGGTATTGTTGTTATGAAAGAGAATTCTCTTTTATAGTTATAAAATAATATTAATCTCAGGACAATTCTCTTTTATAGTTATAAAATAAAATACATACATATATATATGTGGCTCTATTATCGCGCGGCACAATTCATACAATCACTTTCTTGTACATACCATTGTAAATATTTCGTAATTATAAATATGTACATAACAACAATCTGCTCATCATTTCACCTTCTTCTTTCCCGTGGGCACTAGATAAACATAAATAATAGCGGTAACAATAAAAACGCTAAATATATATATATATGTGTGGCGAATTAACTATTATCGCGCGCTTTCACGCCAAAACTACCCGATTTAAATGCCAGATAGTCTAGACTCTGACAAACGCGAAAAAAGGGTAGAATAAAAGATTGTATGGAAGAATCGTCATTTTTGAAGCTAAACGATGAAATTTTTTTATTTGACTTTTATTGGGTTAGGTCATTAAATATTTACGTGGTAAAAACTTGAAACTTATTTGTGAGGCTGCTAATTAAATATACATAAATATGAAACAAAGTTTTTAAATTTTATATTTATAATGTCCAAATATGTGTTAATAAATGATAAAAAACTTGAAGCTCAGCTAAATATTTACTGAGTCCGTTGATTAAATATAAATAAATATCCATTATAAGTTTGTAAAAATTTTAAATATCCCGAAAGTTTTTATGTAAAAATATATAAGCCGTTTCAGGTTGGTGATGAAATATGAATAAATATGACATTCAAAGTTTGTAATAATTTTATCCTTAAGGGGGTAAAATCAAATAGGGGCTCAAAGATTTTATATAAATTCATGATTTTTTAAACTAGAATGATGAAACCGTTTTCATTGACTTTTTTGGGTTTATTTATTAAATCCCTCACTAATATTATAACTCTCGATCTCGTTTACATGCCAAAACTACTGAGCCGATTTAAATGAAATTTGGAACACGTAATCTAGACTCTGAGAATGGATATAGGGTACTTTATAATGTAGAAAATGGATGTAAGGGGATTGAAAGGGTAGGTGCAAGGGTGTATGGATATATCGCAATTTTCAAAGCCTGAAACTGAATTTTAGGCTGTTGATTAAATATAAATAAAGAAAATGGGTTGTAAGTAATTTACTTAAATTGACGAAGCTGTTTAATTTTTAGCGTAAATATATATTAAGAACAAGATTTTACGTGTCGTATTGACGTGTCGTATAAAGACAGCTATTGACGTGTCGTATAAAGGCAGCTATTGACGTGTCGTATAAAGACATATTGACGTGTCGTATAAAGACAGTTATTGACGTGTCGTATAAAGGCAGCTATTGACGTGTCGTATAAAGACAGCTATTGACGTGTCGTATAAAGGCAGCTATTGACGTGTCGTATAAAGATAGCTATTGACGTGTCGTATAAAGATAGCTATTGACGTGTCGTATAAAGGCAGCTATTGACGTGTCGTATAAAGGCAGCTATTGACGTGTCGTATAAAGACAGCTATTGACGTGTCGTATAAAGACAGTTATTGACGTGTCGTATTATTATTGACGTGTCGCGGCCCGTTCGTATATAGGTGGCTATTGACGTATCGTATAAAGATAGTTATAAGGATATGAAAGATTTTTTTTTTTTTTGAAGCTACGTAATCTTTGGCTTTTATTGGGTTAGGTCATTAAATATTTACGCGGTATAAGCAAATACACATATATTATACATTATACATAATATAAACGTATTGAAACAATTTTGAATATTTTTTTTTACAAAGGTATTGAAACAATTTTGAATACAAAATAAATTATTTGGATAAGGATTAATAAATACGTATGAATAACATGTACAACGCGACGTTATTGTTTCTATATCTGTAACTTTATTAAATTTGTAATATCTATTGAATGGAGTAGACGATTTGAACAATTCAAAAAGTAATATACACAAGTTGAACAGTTTTGAAAACAATAGGATTTATTTAGATAAGGATTTAAACAGACGTATGAATAACATGGTGTAATTTTGATCGGTATTTGTATCAACTTTTAAAATGTAAAAAGTGGTTATTGTAACATAACGATGATAGTTGGACATATAGCAAGTTTTTAGTAGTTATTGATATGTTCTTCAATATTGTAGAACATACTTCTGTTCTATCACCAACAGTTACTATATTATTATAGGCTATTAATATAGGCGGTTAGAGTTATATTATAGCATTTTTTTTTTTACTCGTTGTGTTACGTTACTTAAGTTTTAGTAAGGATTCCCAATATTTTCTAGCAATAAATATAGCCTATGGTACTCAGCGTGAAAGTAGCTTTTTTTTTAATGGTGAAAGAATTTTTTTTTTTTAAGAATCGGCAAAGTAGTTTCTGAGTTTATCCATTACAAACATACATGTAAACATACACACAGTAATACAAATCTTTCCTCTTTATAATATTAGTATACTTCAGCATGGGATCAAGTAATCCAAGCCCGTAAACTGGAATGGTCGTCCACCAGCCGTCAGTCTCTCGAGAATTCCCGGGAAATCGTTGGGTTTTGTTCCCGGGAAAAAGTCGAGAACTCGAGAAATCAAGTACCTATATAGAAATTAATTTGCCGTTTGGCGGCGCAATAATTCAAGATATTAAGGTTTTCTTTCATGTAATTTTTTTTTGGCTTACAGAAACTATTTTTGTTTATAAGTTTAAGGTAGATTTTTTCTAAATAACCAGCCAAAAATGGTGCTGTCATTATAAATATAAGTCTGAATAATATTAGGTCCTAACATATGAAAGTGGTGTTTTGTAAGGGAGTAACCTGAAGTATTTTTTACATGTTTATTTAATCAAACTTGTATTTCTATTTATGCACTTTTGCCATCTCATAGGTCACTTCATTGTCACTGAAAAAAACATTTGAACGGGAACATTTGGACATTCAATAAAATCTTTGTCTTTGGACTGCCCCATCGGATTTGAATTTTTTCCTAATCAGTTATCCAAATTTCGAAAAAAATGGTAATCTGTTGGATCAAAGTCCAGGGAGCAATTGTAAAGTCTCGGACATTACAATTGAATCTCTTCTAATTTGGTAATGTCAGTTGTGCAGTGTGTGGTCTAGCGTTGTCCTGAGCAGCAGTAGCCTACGGCGATTGACATCGGTTGTCTTCCATTATGGTTTCTCAATTGCTGACAACACACATCTGCCGTAATTATCTGGCCAGATTTAAGAAAGCTGAAGTGAACAACACCGGAACTAGTCCACTAAACGCTCTTTTTTTGGGTCAATGCTTGGGGCAGGATTTGGTACCTTCATGCGATGAGCGTTTCCAATTATCATACAAGATCCACATCATCACAGGTAATGATTCGATTTAAAATCCCTTTATTATTATGCCGGTTGACTAATGTAACGCAGCAGTCTACACGCGTTTGTCGATCGAAACGCGAATTGTCTACTCAATTTATGAGGGACCCATCTTTTAAGCTTTTTCACCCTCCCAGTTTGCTACAAGTGGATTAATACAGTTTTGTCACTAACACTGCAACCTGCAACTAACTCGGACGTGGTTTGCGATGGATCTGCTATCACAATAGCCTTCAATTCTTCATTACCAACCTCGGACTCCAGTACGGGGATTGTTTTGCAGGTCGAAATTTCCAGAACGAAAACGTTGGAACCAAAAATGTTTTGTTGAAGATACACATCATTAATCCTTCGAGCCGTTTCTGCAGCACTAGTGCCATGGCGGAACTCGTATGTACTTGTAAATGACGCGATATTTTAAGTTTTCCATTTTGTAAGTTGAGTGACCCAAAGAAAAAACCAAGCATATTTATTACGGTTTTCGAAAAACAACAGGAGATATACCAAAGAGGAGATATTTAAGATCAATGTGGCCAGTATGACAAAACGCTAATTTCATATACATTAATTTCCTACAGGAAATTAATATATTTCAGTATTTAAAAAAAAATTTGTTTATTCATAATATGTATAATGTTTTTAAATATAACTACTCAATAAAAATTTTATAATTAATTTTATAGTTAAATTTTATATTTAATATTTAACAAAAAATGCAGTGGTTTTCGTCTCAAATGAAACCACTGAGTTTTTTGACATTATTGGAACCAAATAATATGAGAAAACGTACGTAAATGTAAATTTCTCGACAACCCGAGAAGACCCGAGAAATTAACCTCGAGAATTCTCGAGACCCGAGAAATTGAAAAGCTCGAGAAATCATGAACCCTAGGCGTCACGTGCACGACCCTTTAGGCAGCGTCATAATCTCGCAATATTTTCGTCGTCGCTATAATCCCATAAGTATGTTGTCGAATTGTACTGTGACTATAGAACAATGCCCAATCTTCACCGCTGTACATAGGCAACTCTTT